AAAAAAAAACAACAACACACCAAGCAAACCTCCTCTCCAAGTCAGAACCCATAATTAAATCAGTTTTCATAAAGTAGTTACAACTATTCTTTCCTCTAGTGTCAACTATTGAGGGTACACCTTAGGGAAAGAATTTACAGAGAAAAGCTCTGTAAATCCTGTCCTAGTAGTGGAGATGGAAATGCCTACGATGTCCTCCAACGTTCTGAACAGTAATGATCTTAAAGATACTAAGATTCCCTCCCACTTCACCGTGCCTCTTGGGGGTCCTCTAGATGAGTGCTATGCCATAGACCTTTGTTAGATGGTAGAAATGTTCTGTAACTTTCCCTGTCAATTGTAGCCAGCAGTCACATGTGGCTTTTAAAAATGTGTGATAGTACAACTGAAGTACTGAATTTTAAATTTTATTTTATGTTAAGTAATTTAAATTTAAATAGCCACAGGTGGATAGCACTGCTCTAGACAGTTATGTGGGTCTAAAAAATCTCAATGTTCCAAAAACCATTGACCCTCTTATCCCCATATTTTATTCCAAACACTCTAGGTAAATCGATATTGAAGACTTGGTTGGTTGAAGCACCCTAGTTTGTGAAAAGAATGTGAGATGTGGAGTTGCAGGCAGAGGTTTTCATTCTAGTCCTGCCAGTCACTGAGCTGGTGGCCTGGGCACGCTTTATCACTTCCATGTCAGTTTCCTCATTTATGAAGTAGGAATAATGGTACCTATTTCCTAGGACTATTGTGAAGATTAAATGAAATAACACATGTAAAGCATTGAACATAGCATCTGCTAATTATATTGGTTTCTATTCACATCTGACTCAGGCACAGATTTCTCTGTTTTTCTTGTGTTTAAAAAACAAATAACAGGCCATCACTTAACCCCAGTATGTTTCTAAAGAGCACTCTGAAAGTGGCTTTATTATTTTAATACTACAGTGTCTGTGACTGTCTCCAAATGTGTGTCTATTGAGAAATAGATTCTTCGTAAATCTAGAAAAGGTGTTTTGTTTCTCTGAAAATATATCAACTATAGTTGTCTATACTGTATTGCTAACTTCTTACTAGTACCACCAACAAGCAAAGGGAGGTTATTGTAACATAAAGATTACTGATATTACATGTTTTCTGAGCTATTAGTTTTGCTTCATGTAATTGGATAAAAGGGCTTATTTTTCCAAATTATCTTTGTAATTGTTTGCTTCACTTTACTGTGTCCATCCTGTGGTGGAAAATAATGGATGGCATGTCCATGATACACCATTTTTTT